CCCAAAAAATAAAATTGTCTTTTTGACAAAAAATATTATATCAAATTACGTCTCAAAAATAAACTTGTGTTTTTATAACCATAATAAATTCGAAATACAATGTTGGATTAATGTATATGTCATTGGGTACGTAGCTTTTAGCAAAGATATTTCCTTTATCATGATTTATTTTTTATTAGAGATAATGCACAAGTACCTTTTCAATCTATGTCCGAAATTTCAGAGACACATTTATATTATACTAAGGTCCTATTACCCTCATGAACTTATTTTATTAATTATTTTCTATCACTTTTTGGCCTACATGACACTATCTTGTGGATCCAACGCTAGTTGACTTTTTTTTCAAATTAGTGCCACGTAGGTCAAAAAGAGATAAAAAATTATTTATAAAATAAGTTCAGGGAGGTAATAGGATCTTAGTTTAGTATAAGTGTCTCTCTGAAATTTTGGACATAGGTTGGGAGGGTACTTATGTATTTTCCCTTTTTATTATAATAAAGATGTATTTCGTTACTACTCCTATTTGATTTCATGTTTCGTATTTCAAATTTTCTATAAACTGGTGTATGATGGTATATTGCTTTGATTTTTTTTTTCATTTTTATAAACTCGACTTCGAAATCTTATGTTAAAGGTGAAACGATTTTGATTTCTAAATTATCCCAATATAAAGGGTGGTAATCAACTACTCCCTCCGTTTAAAAAAGAATGATTATGTTTATTTTTTAGTCTGTTTAAAAAAGAATGAATCATTTCCTTTTTTGGCAACACTTTAACTTTAACTTTTCACGTGACATATTTAAGACCACAAGATTAAACGACATTTTGATACATTTGACATAACTTACAAAATTGTTCTTTAATCTTGTCGTCTTAAAGATGCCACATGAAAAATTGTTACAAAAAAAGAAAGAGATCATTCCTTTTTAAAAAAACTAATAAAGAAAAAAAGTCATTCTTTTTTAAACAGAGTGAGTATTATTTTTGATAAACCTCGATTCAAATGTGGTAGTAAAAGAGTAAGAGATACGGTATAAAGCAACATATATATAACAATATACATCGAAAAATAAGAAAATACGTGAATACTATTCCTCTCCCACTTTGCAACCAGACTTACTACCCATTATGCTTTATTTCAATTTTCGATCTGTATATTTCTATTTAGAATTATGTCATATTTGTATGTTTTTATTTAGAATCATGTCATTAGTAAGTTGAACTTAATCAAACAATTATCAATTTTAAATTTTAATTACGATGGTCTTCCTCTTATTTATTTATATTTGTCAATAAATTTCCTCTACTTATCCTATAGTCGTGCAAACTTTTTTTAAAATTAGATAAATTAATAATTGAAACCATTTTTATCATCATCATTAGAAGAGAAAAGGAACAAAGATAACTCCAACATTTAATTTTTGATTAAGTGCACCACTAAGCTAAGGTTAGATAATTAACTTTCATTTATACAATTTCTTTAGAAAAAAGTCACCGCATGTTGTAGCTTAACTTATTTTTTCAAAATAAAACAATAGTCCTTTTTACATTTAAAACCAGTCCTTGAGCAATTTCTTATATATAAAAAAAAGTTCTTCGAAAATGAAACAAAACTATTTAAAAATAACAATTACACTAACACATGAAATTTAAAGTATTCTATAAACATCAAGAAAAATACCAATTAAAATATGACGACAAACCAAATAAATTATGCACATAAGTTGATAAATTGTATCTTTCTCAAAAACAACACTAACTTTTTGTCAAGGATTTTAAATACTGAATGGTATTAAATATAACATGTTAAGAAAAAAATTTAAATCGTTAAAAAAATGGATAGTCCAATAATAAAAAAATCAAAACAATTATCAAAATCATTAAACCAATAAAAAAAAATTTTAATTTGAATTATCAATTTTAATTCAATCTTAAACTTAACTTTACGTGATAACTTGACGATGATTTACTTGAATTGCAAGAGAGAAACACTTTTTACTCCTTACCTTTCTCTTTTCTTTTCCCCTTTTTAAGTTGCTCACCTAAAAATAATAGTAAATTTATTCTCATCTATATACATTAAGATGTGTGATGGATGTGTTAGAATTTCAATAAATATAGAATAATTATAAATGAATATGAGAATTCATATAGTCAATTTTGTCAAATTTAAATTTATCAATAATTTTTCCATATAAAACACTTCACATTTTATTGGGGAAAAAAAACATTTCATATTATTGTTTTATTTTTAAATTTCCATTTCCCAATAATATTCCACAATCAAAATTATCCATAAAATTACGTGAAACAATTTAATAGAAGTTCTTCTGTTTGAATATATAGTTAATCATCCAAATAGATATTTACTCGGAGTCGAAGCCTAAAGGATAAAAAATGTTAAGAAAAATTCTAAAACGGTATATGAAACTTTTTTTTGACCAAAAGGGCAAAATCGCTCGCGAAGTAGCGATTTTGTCCATTGAAAAAAGCAAAATCGCTCCCGAGGGAGCAATTTTCAATTTTCAAATTTTTTTATAACCCTTTTAAGTAAGTCGCCCTTAAATTTTATTTTTTTTTGCTTCTTTTATTTAAAAAAGTTTAAATGAAAAAAATATTTTTTTAAAATTAAATTGCTGCGATTTTTAATTATTTCTTTTTTAATTTTTAAAAATTAAATCACTAAAAAATTTTTGATTTAAAACCGTTGTCTTGGCAGCGATTTATTTTTTTAAAAAAAAATAAAAAAGGCTAGAGAAAGTAATAAACTACACATTGTATTTATTAATTTTTTAATAAACATGATTTTTACTTAAATAAGTACACTTATATATTTTGAAGCAAAAAAATAGTACAATTAAATCTCGAGGAGAGAAAATTGTTTACATAAAGAGTATGTTTAAATACATGCATGCTTTAAAACTTTTTAAATAAAAGAAGCAAAAAAAAAAAAAAATTTAAGGTAATGTCGCTGCATAAGCAGCGACTTACTTAAAAAGGTTATTAAAAAAAATTGAAAATTGAAAATCGCTCCGAGGGAGCGATTTTGTCATAATTTTTATTTTTTTAAAAAAAAGCAAATTTAACAAATCGCTGCTACAACAGCGATTTTGCTTTTTTCAGTGGACAAAATCGCTACTTCGCGAGCGATTTTGCCCTTTTGATTAAAAAGAAATTTCATATACCGTTTTGAAATTTTTGTTAACATTTTTTACCCTTTAGACTCCGGACTCTATTTACTCGGGGGAATTCAATGGTTAAACCAACACCAAAGTTAAATAGTATTTATTTCGTTTCAGTTTATCTGTCTCCTTTTTAATTTGAGATTCAAATAATTATTTTTTTTTTAATTATGTTTTTTCATCTACTTTTTATGTAATAATTTTCAACTATTTTGAATTTTATATCTAAATTTATGGTCAAATAAAGCAATGGTATTTTCCAGAGTTTGATTTGAAAATTTTATTACAAGTTGAATCTCCTTCAATTCAACTGCATGTTACTGTAATTATATAAGTATGTTGTATTACAATGGATAAAGTTTACAAATAATCACTTTTTAAATTTACATTCTTATAATTAATATTATAAATAAGTAATATCCTAAGACTTTTATATATTAAATTAAAAAGTTAATAACACTAATTATTTTTCAAGGAAAAGTGGTTGGTGGGGATGGCGCTATTTCTACGAAATTCTCTAATCTCCATGGAATTCTACTATTAGAAGCAGAATAAATTTGAATCTCTTTTAATATTTCTTATATTAGAACTAAATCTTATAAATTTTAATTTATTATAATATAACATAAATAGAAAAAAAAAGGGTAAACAACAGTTGTGAGTTGTTACTTGTCTCTATCTTCATGGAAAGAAACCACACTATAAATTCACATGAATATGTGTGGATGTCTAGATAGAAACGTGTGTGTTTCTTTATGTATCATATCAACAACTTTCTATTACTATTGTTATTAGACATAATAGACGAGTCACAATTTTTTGCTCTCTTCAATTTGGTTATCATTTAAAAAAAAGATTTTTTTTTTAAAAAAAATATTGACCTTTTTAATGTAATTTCAAGTTTTCATACGATATATTTGAAATTAAGAACATAAAATTCAAAAAAAAATTATTTCTTATAATTTCATATCAAGTCAAAAGAAGACAGAAAATTAAAGAGAAAATACACAAGTACTCTCTAGATTATGATTGAAATTTCTGAGACACACGTATCTTAACTAAACTAAGGTCCTATTATCTTCTGAACTTATTTTTTTTATAATTTTGTGCATCTTTTGTCTTACATGGCACACGCCGTGACTTTACGCAATTGAGACGCGTGAAAAATATTTAAATGTCATGTAAACCAAAAAGATGTACAAAATTACTAAAAAATAAGTTTAAGGGATAATAGTACATTAATTTAGTTAAAGTGTATCTCTAAAAATTCAATTATAATCTAAAAATATTCGTAAATTTTTCCAAAATTAAATAAGAACAAAAAATACCCATCATTTTGGAAACTTAAATAGTCTTCTAAAAGAAATTACTAGGATAAATAATTAGTACGAAACAACCTTTTACCAAGGGGTGTCAAATAGTAGAAAAAATCCCCTTTAACTTTTTGTTTTATTTAAGTTTATATCATAACATTTCTTAATTTCTTTGTCGTGATAATTTTTCTTTTTTAATTCATTCTAAAAAGATTACTTTATTATGATTAAAAATGATATAATCCTAATTTTCCTTTTTATTTACAAACACATAAATATTTAAGAAATATTTTAAATTATAATATTCAAAAGTAATTCTTTTAAAATAACATATCAAATTAAATAATGTCACATAAATGATACAGAAATAATAGTATATATATATTTTTTTAATTTTAACCAAAAATGTAATCTATTTAAGATATACGTAATCTTTGAAGGTACAAAAAATTATTTATGATTGACCGTGAAATTAATAAGAGAGCAAAAAATGGTTGGTGAGAGATTGACCAAACCTCCTTCACCCACCCACTCCCCCAATATAAATACCATGTACATTTCTTTCATTTCTCAGCTTGGATGTTCCCTTAGAACTGCAAGCTTCAACTAAATTTCTCTCTTTTTATATTTTTCTTTTTTTCTCAATTAAGCCCCTAATTTTATAGAGTAATTGCAATTTGCACCCTAGAAAAATGCAATCGCTTACTCCATCATCGTCGGGGATAAATCTCAAATCCTTAATCCAGACGAAGATACGGTCGAACCGGGTTAACTCGATTCGACCAGTTATCACATGCGTTTACCGGTTTGACGCGGCCAACGCCGCCGTCAACACCGGTACCGCGAATACCAACTCTGCCGGACACGCCGGCGGTTCTAGAGCCGACTGGCAGAGTTCCTGTGCGATTTTAGCAAGTAAAGTTGTGTCGCAGCAGCAGAACGCTGAGAAGAGTGGCGGTGCTGGTAACATCACCGCCGTGAACGGCCATAAGGCGGCGATAGATCTCGATCTAGTTCCAATCGATAACCAACCTAAGCCGCTCACCATTACTGACCTCTCCCCAGCGCCGATGCACGGTGCTCAGCTTCGCGTCGCTTACCAAGGCGTACCTGGAGCGTACAGCGAAGCTGCCGCCGGTAAAGCTTATCCGAAATGTGAAGCCATACCTTGTGATCAATTCGAGGTTGCATTCCAAGCCGTTGAACTCTGGATCGCTGACCGTGCAGTTCTCCCCGTTGAAAACTCTCTCGGAGGATCTATTCACAGAAACTACGACCTCCTCCTTCGTCACCGTCTCCACATCGTCGGAGAAGTTCAACTACCGGTCCACCACTGCCTCTTAGCACTTCCAGGCGTTCGAAAAGAGTATCTCAACAGAGTCATAAGCCATCCACAAGCCTTAGCACAATGCGAGCTCACATTAACAAAACTCGGTTTAAACGTAACTCGTGAAGCTGTTGACGATACCGCCGGCGCTGCTGAATACATAGCTTCCCACAACCTCCGTGACACAGCTGCAATCGCCTCAGCACGCGCTGCCGATCTATACGGTCTCCAGATCTTAGCTGAAGGAATCCAGGACGATTCAAGCAACGTAACTCGTTTCGTTATGCTAGCTCGTGAACCAATAATTCCTCGAACCGATCGTCCATTCAAAACAAGCATCGTCTTCGCACATGATAAAGGAACAAGCGTTCTGTTCAAAGTTTTATCAGCTTTCGCATTCAGAAACATCAGTTTAACGAAAATCGAGTCACGGCCTCACCGGAATCGTCCGATCCGGCTAGTCGACGACGCTAACGTCGGAACGGCGAAGCATTTCGAGTACATGTTCTATGTAGATTTCGAAGCTTCCATGGCGGATGTTAGAGCTCAAAATGCATTGGCTGAAGTTCAGGAGTTCACGTCGTTTTTGAGGGTTTTGGGAAGTTATCCAATGGATATGACTCCATGGTGTCCTTCTCGTGAAGATTAACAACCACCCCCACCTCATGAAAAAAAAAATTAAATTACATTTAATATGTTTTATTTTAGGATTTATATCATAGTTTAAATTTAAATTACATTTCATAATCTTTGGTGAATGTGTAATTGTTTATACTCAATTTTTTTTACCCATATGTGATGAATTTATTTATTTTCTAGTTTAATAGTTAATATAGACTTTTTCTTATGGCTCGAAAAAAATAAAATTTTAATCTATAAATCTTAACGTAAAATTGATGATATGTTTAAATTTCAAATATGTTTTTTCAACTGTCTTAACTTTTATGATCTACAAATTTATCAGAATCGGTGATTGAATTCTTGATGACTTAGTTCAATTGTCTCTTTCTCTCCTTTTGTATTTTTTTTATTTAATCATCTGATATTTAATTATTTAATTTGTTTTTTTTTGTGAACCTAATTTGAGAAAAGCACTTTCTATCAATTTAATTTATTTTTTTTATATTCTTGTAATTGATATTAGTAATGTTTTTCAAATAATTGTAGAAATAGGATCAAATAAAAAGGATACACTTTTTTTTCATTCTATGAAGTTATAAGATCCAAGGGAATATAATTTTTAGGCTAATGCTGGCTTCACGACAAAGAGTTATGAAGATGCAAAAGTCCGAATTTTTATTTACGAATTTTGGATTATAATGTTATTTTGTTATTTTTGATATAATATAACATATAATTAATTAATAAAAAATATTTTTTATATAAAAATCTCGTGAAAATTCAAACTAATCAAGATCTTAATTAACCTAACATTTTGTTATAAATAATCGAATATTTTAAGAAAATTAGATTTATGTGAAGTTCAATTATGTGTTTGATCAAAGTTCTTGGAAACATATTTCTCTTCTTTTTTTTTATAAAAAAAAAAAACAATCACCACTTGACTTTGTACTCGCAAGTTCTAAAAACTACCAAAATATTTATAAATTTAACTCAAAATTATCATTTTTATATTGAAATATATAATACATTATTCTATAACCATAATATGATATTTAATAAAAACCACAATAATCTAATAACAAACTACTAAAATTCATTAAATTACAAAAGCTACAAAGATTTACCATTAAAAATATTTATATTAATAATTGTATTAACTAATTATTCTATAATAATCTTTTCATATTTCTAACAATTTCTTCACATGCATTTTTTATTAGATAATTAAAATAAGTAAATAAAAATTATATATATATACACACCCAACTTGTGCTCTCAACAACTTTTTCTTGACTTCTTACAAACTTCAACCTCATGTGATGTTCCCACAAGGTATCATAATTTCTTTTTCAATATTTTTGAGTCAATTCAAAAAAAACATTATTAACTTTATATACTCAAATAGTTTGAAATTCAAAAAATCACTTGAAATCATTATAAAGTTATTGCCCTATCACATTTATACCATTTGAAATAATTTTATCACATGATGGAAACATTTATGATTTTTTATTTCAAACTTCTTTTTGTTGTTACTATCAACACTAATATAAAAACATATTACCAAACCATTAGTAGGTCATATAGAGTTTTCATGAAATTAAGTTCCTAACTAAAATTTTGGGTTTGGAAAATAAATATACATAAATTGAGTAACTAACATCTAACTCTATTGATGCTAAAAAAAAAATCATTCCCAATAATTTAAACTCGAAAACTTTTAATTATAGATTACAAAATCTAAACTTTTTAATTACAATACTTATTGATGTAAAAAGTTCGTTGAACATACTCACTCCATTTTGTGATAATTAAAATTTTAAAAAGAAATATCATAGCATACAACTATTATAACTTTATAAAAACATTTGTTGTGATTATAAAAGTTTTTAAGAGTAAACTAGAAACAAATATTAAATTTAATTATTGTCAAAGATAATATAGTTTTTTTTCTAATTTTTTTTATTAAAAAAGAAAGTGATAAAAGAGCTATTAATAATTAAAATTATTGAGATTGGTATTTTTGCTAGGGTCAAGGAAAATTGTAGTACTAAGGACCATAGTCTATAATATATTTGCCATTTTTAGACATTCCATTTGATGTAGAGATTTTTATTTTTATTTTTGTGTTGATAAGTTTGTTCTTTTTGTAATTGTGGCATTATCTTTAAAAAGTTATGAACCACGTTATCCTTTTTGGAGTCATATGATTGGATTTATAATAATAATAATATGAAATTTAATGGTATATAATAATAATATTTCTAATGTTTTTATTATCATGTTGACATTAGTTATATTAAATTATTATCTATACAATGTTAGTTTATGTATTAAAAATGATATGTATTGTTTACATAAAAATCCTCTTTAAATATGATAAAAAAATATGTAAAAATATTTTGAAAAATAATTATATCTTTAATCACGATGCATGCTTTAAAAACTCTTACATTATTATATATTAATAATTTGTCATGTATTAGTTATAACTTAGACAAAATATTAATATAAATAACATAATACACAAAACTACTACATATATTTTTCTTTTGAAAAATACATTCTACCAAATAGGGGCGTATCTATGTTATAGTCAAGGTGTCCAATTGAACACTCAATATTGTCAAATAATATCGTACATATAAATATCATGCTATACGAAATGATTAAATAATATATTCTGAACACTTTTAAAAGAACAAGGTGTTGTAGCCTAGTGATATTTTTAGGCGCCTTGAAAGAGTCTTAGGATGCTCATGTGTTGAAATCTCATTAACTCTCTTTTATGAATTTTTTGATTTATGAAATTTCTAACTTCATCGTATCAAACAATCCCACCTTAAACGTTTTCGAACATTTTATTTTAGGTTTTTCTTTTAATTATTTGAATATAACTTGTACAGTATACAAGATGTATAAGCTGAAAACTCGATTAACTCTGAAAGTATATTTCATCTAAATATTTGAAATTAGGAAGAGAATGGGTTGGTGAACAAAAGTAGAAAATGTGGTTGAAATAGTAAAAAAAAATTTAAAAAAAAATTAATTGTAATTAAAGGCGGAGCTAAGTGAAGATTCACGAATTTGGACGAATATTTTAACCTTAATTCTTGTGGTAGGTGGGAAACATAACTTTTCACTTACTATTATTATCTTTATTTTTAAAATTTTAATATTATTATTTTCGACATCATTTATTCATCAATCTTAGGGGTGATTTAACTCATTCATTGCGAGTTTAGTACCACCAGTAACTTTATAAATATAGAATTTCGAACTAATAACTTTAAAATTATATAATTTTAAATTTATGAATTTTAAATTTTAATTTCGTGTCTAATTATTTTTTATTGATGTTTCCCATTCTTATAAAAATGTCAGACAATTGTAATTTTTTTAAAAAAAAATTTCATTTGCACGTTCGTATTAATTTTAAGGGGTAATAGTATTTTTAATCCTTGAATTATTGAATTTTTTAAATTTTAATCCTTGAAATGGTTAACAAAATATACTTAACCACGAATTAATCAAATTATGTAATTTTGGTCCCTTAATGTAAGTAATATATTATATTTATAATATTTTAAGAATATTTTACTGTTAAATATTGAATACTTATAGATCTTTTAACCTATGTGTCACGAGTTCGACTAAAAAAAAATATTAGATATAACTAACACCTTTATTGTCCTACTCAATTAACTCAATCATCCTTGCAGATTATATTATATATTTGAAATTAAGTCTATATGATTATAAAGTTACTAATATTCGAAAATGAAATACAGAGCTAAAACAACTTTTACCTAATTAATTTCAATGAAAATAATATTAGGTCTAATCAAATAATATTAGGTTAAATTTTCCACGAGTTTTTCGTTTTATTAATTAAGATATTTCGTAACTCACATGAAAGTGACTAGTAAAAAATTATGTGACAGAATTATAAAAGCATTTAAAAAATTATTCTTATAAGTTACTCATGTTATCATGTAGAAAAAGAATAAGATATTAAAGTACCATAGAGGCCTAAGTTTAAACATGGTTACTAAGTTGTCTTTATTAGAAAGTTTTATCGACTTTTTAATATGACTCTAAATTAGTCAGATCATAATATGAGTAATAATAATTAATGCGAGACTTCTTTTATAGAGCTATTCAAAATCAAACCAAAATCAATAACTCAAATAGAATAAAGTTATTGGTTCGGTAATGTGTTATTGGTTTAACAGTTTTGAATTTTTATAAGGTTATTAATTCTTAACGATCTGATTTTTTTTTAACGGATTACTCTGCAATGTGTTAGTATCATTTTTTTTGTATCAAATTGTAACGGTTAAATTGATAACGATTAATTAATATGTCGCTATCTTAATGATTTTTAACAATTTAGCTTGTCATAACTAATAAGTCAATTCGGTAAAGTTCAAAAAGGAAGAGACACAAAACCCTACTTTCTGATGTGACTATAAATTTAGTTGGACGACAATGCGAGTTAGAAATATTTTTAAAAGAAAAATATAAGATGTTGAGAGTGGGATTTGAACCCACGCCCTTTCGGACCAGAACCTTAATCTGGCGCCTTAGACCAACTCGGCCATCTCAACATTGTCGTTTACCCAAGTTTATCTTTTATTTATACAATAAAATTTGTAGTAAAAAAACAAAGGATGAATAAGAAATTCTAGAATCATACAACTCGTAGAAAAATAATCTTATACTATAAAATTCTTTCACAATGACATATGTAGTTGAATATAAATAGAATTAAGTATATTCATACGAAAAGTTATAGTTCTATTTTTTTTTTCAGTCATCAATTAAATTTCGTATATATATGATAAAGTATGTCTATTCAATTTTGAATCAATGATAATTGATATCGAAACGAATAATACATAGTATCTTGGATAGAATTAGTGAATCATGTCATAGACGATCATTTGCGTAGTTCAGAAACACTCTAATATACAAGTTTAAAATTTTACTTTAATCTTAATTACTATATAATCATTTCATTCAGAATCAAATTTTTCTCAAATTACAAACAAAATTATTATAACCTATAAACCAAATATTATATACATGTTTATTTTCTTATAAAAGAAGAAAACTTCAATGACCACTGACAATTGTCAAGATGTGGTATATATATATATATATATATATATTATATTTTATGAAATATTGACAAATTGTTGGCA